TATATATAAAGAATAATGTGCAATGTATATATTAATTAGCTTTATTAAAAATGAATATATGTATAGTAATTAACTAATTATACCTGCAACTCCTCCTTTTCCTTCTCTGTGAAGGGGCTTTTGCGTTTCACCATCTTGCTATCGCTGCTTACGACCTATACACAATTTTTGGAGATCAAGAAATGCTGCAAGCATTTATTAAATAAAAAAATAAATATAAATTTTGCCATCAAAATGACTAACCAATTTAGAGGATGAACGAAGGGCCTGAGCCACCGTCTGATTGCTAATGTTGAGCGATTTGAGTTTCTTTAGAGTCGAGACAAAATTTATGGGAACTGTTATTCATACACCAATATATTAATAAAATATATATCAAAATGTGAGAACTTTTGAAAAGTAACAATAATAAAAACAAAAAACAAGGATCTTCAGAATTAATTCCTTTACCATAGCCTTGAGGGTCCTTGCTCACATGCTTGACGAGAGTTTCATTTGCAAGCATGCTCATGTCACTAAACATGTATTCGGCCTGTCCACACATTTAAATAAAAATAAGTATTTGAATATTTGAAACAAAATTTATATTTTATGTTTTAAATATAAACTTATAATTTGGCATTCGTTTATTACTCGAGTGTTGTATTGCTTGTAGTTAAATATAAATATAATACCTGTTTGATTATCTTGCGCTTAATCTCCTCAGAAATGACAATTTCACTTGGTTGTTGTTGTTGTTGTTGTTTATTAATTTGAGTTGAGCCTATTTTTTCATTGAGCTTGGATAGAACAAACGAATTTGCTATTTCTTGATCCGCCACGTAAATCCAGCTTCCATTAGTCCCATCAATGGATGGAAAACACGGATATAAAAAGCTCGTTATCGGAAGCTGAGCTGGCAGCGGCAGTGTCGGCACGAACTCCGGTGCCGCCACGTTGAACTTGAACGAGCCTCTTCTCTCCCTATTCTTGACGTCATTTTCTCTTATCATTTGGGCCATCTTTTCAAATATTATTGGAATCAATAAAATAGGAAAACTCTATCGTTTCTATTTTTGCTTTGGTTTTGGTGGAGACAAGTTAGTTAATATATGTATGTTGATAGCATATATTCTGCATTAATTTATGTGTGGAGTGTGGAAATTATTTGGCTTTCTGGTGGTGGAAAAACAATATGCATGTTGTTTTCTCCTGAATTTCAGATGTTTGAGATGGGCCATTGATTTGAGACATATACTCCAACATTGATGTGAGAAATTTGTGGGCATTCGTTATTCTTGCAATGACCCGCCATTAGTGGAGATTGACCAAATCCCAGGTTTGGAGAAAAATATCAACTGTCACTCTGCACTTACAAAAAAGCCATGTATTAGAAAAGGACCCAACGGTCCGACCGATTAGGCGGTCAATTGACCAGTCGGGTTCACTGGAATGAACATATTGCCAGTGAACCAGACAAAAATCGGCTGGTGACCTGCTTGAATCGATCCATTTTTTTTTTTTTTTTGATTAATATTT